GACTGACAACGATTATCTTCTACTGATGGCTTTATGAGAGGACATCTATCTAACAGTATTCTAATTTGACTCAGCAGGTAACTTATACCGTGGTATGTTTCATGATTTTGTGACGCTGCTGTTTATACTTCCGTTTGGTTTGATATTTTTTGAAAGGCGCAATTTTACGATAAACAGGTTGATTTGGGGATAAACAACATGGTTAACTGGACATGGTTAATTACATGATAATGACATTTCTGGGTAAATACCGTGCAAGCTATCAGACCGTTGAAATAGTATCTCACCTGTGCTCCCGGGGACCCAGTTTTGGATTGGAGGTGGGAACGAGAACGGATATACGGTGTCTTCAGAATCCTATCGTCAAAGTCCCTTAATATAGCTTTGATGAAATATGCCGGCTAATGATGCGGCTTTATCGATGCCTAAAAATAAACCACATCTTGATTTGCCAACCACCAGTTGTCAGGATGAAAGAAGATAAAGAAGAAGAAGAAGAAGAAGAAGAAGAAGAAGAAGAAGAAGAAGAAGAAGAAGAAGAAGAAGAAGAAGAAGAAGAAGAAGAAGAAGAAGAAGAAGAAGAAGAAGAAGAAGAAGAAGAAGAAGAAGAAGAAGAAGAAGAAGAAGAAGAAGAAGAAGAAGAAGAAGAAGAAGAAGAAGAAGAAGAAGAAGAAGAAGAAAAAGAAGAAAGAGAAGAAAAAGAAGAAGAAAAAAAAAAAAAAAAAGAAGAAGAAGAAGAAGAAGAAGAAGAAGAAGAAGAAGAAGAAGAAGAAGAAGAAGAAGAAGAAGAAGAAGAAGAAGAAGAAGAAGAAGAAGAATTGTGATTAACAAAACGTTACATTATGTGTTCGCTGGTTTATTATTCTACATATGCTTAGTGAATATAAATGTATGTAACATGTGGTGCTATTTCAATAATTGGCTACGAATTCCGTTCATAGTCCAAAATTGTTATTTCATGTTTATAACAGAGCAAGCTACTTGTGACATCTCTTTAGAGGTGTCTATTAGGTTAAAAAAACGAAGAACACTGGTTCCTGCAATGATGCATGTATCAGTGTCAGTCCTTACTCAATTGTTTGCTTATCATACCTGACTGGCACCTAAGCTCAATGTACAAACCATTTCATTGACTGATGTCTGATGAAATCAAGCACTGCTACTAACCCTCACTAATTTGTGTTCAGATTGCATTGCTTCTGATTAAAAAAGTATATGTGTCTTAGAAGAGTTAAAATTGTATCAGCAGGAAGAGTCAACGTAAGCAGTGTGTATACAATACAGTAACTAATACAGATTGATGGGCAAAATATACCGCGCCAAAACTCCACCGTGACAGTAATAATATCACATGTTTATCGCTTTGACATTCGCTATCATTATTTCTCCACATCTGATAAATGATTGGTTGTCTCTGTTCACACGGAACTAATGTGACCTCACGACATTTACAACTCGCACTTTCTTTCAATTTAATGTTCGTTTTTGTTTTTCAAGATTGATTTTTTTTTCGTACAAATTAAATTGTTTTCTATTTCTTTTAGTTGTTATTATTTGTTGTATTATATTCAATGTCCTAGTTTGAGCTCGTGTCATTGTGATGTCGCAATAATATTACAAACAATCAGCTAATGTTTCATTTTATTTTAAAAATTATGTTGCATTTATTATTTGCACGCCTCTGTTCATTTGTTAGAAACTTCTTTTATTGTCGAAATCTCTAGATTTCAGCCTGCATTATGTTATCTGAATTCTTGAATTTATCATTATCAAACATTAAAACAGTTGGCCGATTGTTAAGGTTTTGTTTTGTTTAGGAAATGTTTTTCTGCGTTATTCTGATGGCTTCTGTTTTCGTCTTTTGACACTACATCATGATTCCTCTGCCCCTCAGCTGTCATCAACACGTTTTTGACCTCACTAGAGTAGGCGGTACTGGTTCCAACCGTTAGACAATCATCAGAATCACAGATCAGGACTGCGTATAGAGATCTGGAGAGAGAGAGAGAGAGAGAGAGAGAGAGAGAGAGAGAGAGAGAGAGAGAGAGAGAGAGAGAGAAAGAGAGATTAGGATGAGGTATACACTCTAGCACAATAATGTTAACACTTCATATTATCTTCAGCAACTCGCCTAGTCAGTGCCCAACTACAGCTATGTTTTCTGACAAACCGCACTGCAAATGTTTTAGAATGTTATGCATTTTGAAAAAAAATTGCTTGGTAAACATAATCGTGGCGATACTAACGGTAGTGGGGCGGAATTAAAAATCCGGGTGGGAGTAAGGGGGTCGAAATAAAACGCCCCACAGCCTAGCAACGAATATGCCGTCCTCTTGAAATAAATCATAGCTCGCCAGCGGCGCCTCATTGAATGAATTACCTTTTAGGTTGCAGCTTGTAGAAGTGACAGTGGCTACGGTCACCCGACCAGTATTTTCACAGCCATGAAGAAAAGCAGTGACAAATTACATTCTTTAAGATGCCAAACATGGTCATAAAAGAGAAAGGCAAAGCAATAAATACCTCTATAGGACTTAACCACATGGATGGAATGAGACAAAAACATTGAGCTGACCCCCCCCCCCTCCCCCCTTTTTTCCCCCTTTTCTCATATCTGCTCTGTCTTGCCCCAATTCTATATATAGATGTATAACTTCACATTCGAAAGTCGGGCTTTGAATAAAAGTGACTGGGTTATTTTTTGCCCTATGTTTTCGCATGATCCATGTCCTTACTGTATTGATTTGGAGACAACATGGTTGTTAACTCCATATAAATATATTTAATTTATCTGGCATCTCTTTATGTGAGTGCGACAATGTGAATGTCGTCAGCAATGTTCAGGTCATTAACTTCTTCTGCCTAATCCGCATTTTCATATCTGGTGAAATTGGCTCCATACACATACACATGTTCCGATTTACAGAATATTAAGGCCGTGTTTGTCACTCGCAAACATACAAACAAAAACGTGTAATACTCATTTTCTTTTCCAGAGAATTTCAAAGGCTATAAAATTATTGCATGAATATTTGTTCCGTACAAAGACTGATCGCTGTGCAATTTGTTCCGAGTGCAGTTTTTAGACAGCAAACTCACTTGACAGGCGATGCATTATTTATGTATCATTCAAGCAAAGTTCAACTGAATTCATGTAATATTATGCAACCCCCCCCCCCCCCTTTTCCCCCCTTATTTTCAACTAAATTTTTTTAAAATGATACAATTATCCCCCCCCCCCTTTTTTTTTCAAGCAAAGCTCAACTGAATTTATGTTAAATGATACAATTATCCCTACCACCCCCCCCCCTTTCCCCCTTATTTTCAACTGAATTTATGTTAAATGATACAATTATCCCTACCACCCCCCCCCTTTTTTTTCCTTTTTTTTTTTCTAGCGAAGTTAAACTTAATTCGTGTTAAATGATACAATTATTTTCCACCTTTTCTTTCAAGCCAAGTTAAACTGAAATAATGTTTAATGATACAATTATTCTCTCTCCCCCCCCCCCCCCTTATTTTCAAGCGAAGTTAAACTGAAATCGTGTTAAATAAAACATAGTCGCAGTTTTAATCAGGTAGCAAATGTAACTTTTAACTAGGACCCTCTTGGCTTGTTCCTGAGGAAGGAAACAGAGCGTTCTGCGTGCAATTTTGACAATTCTGGACTGAATCATTCATCGAAGTTACTCAACAAAATATGAATAGTTCAATTTGTGTCTTGTCTTTCTGTACAGGATGCAGACGTAAAATGCTCCAGGGAGGTCAAGGAATGTTGCAGACGATTGGTGTCTAGATAGCTGTGACGTCACGACATGCGTCTCCACCCGTGGATCCAGCCACCTGGGGTGTGGGATTCCTGGTCAGAATACATCCTCGATTTGGGAGCCCAGTGAACAGGCGCTCTCTGATCTCTGCATATACAGTGGACTTATTGCGAACTGTAGTTTTGTAATCTGTAATGTGGACGTATATTCTGTAATATATTATCTTCTGTGGTGAAACAGCCTGAGATGTAATAATATACTCGGTAATGTAATGATATATTCTGTATAGTGGTGATATATTAGGCGATATAGTGATCTATAAAACCTACATGTTGTGATTTTGAATTACGTCTCGGTTTACAATCCGTATGCAGACTCGATTTTTTCCATTCTAGAACTGATCCCAGGTCGACCCAGTCTAGAATGGTGGTGTGTGAGCTCTGGGGAAGTAAAGGCAGAAAGCGTTTCAAATATAGAGTGCCGATTGGTCTATAAAAATGTAAAACACTTTATAAACCTAATGCGTGAGAATTGTCCTTGGGTTTCGGACTCTGTCCTTTAGTTCGCGTCTGCTGTTTTTTCAGACGTTTCTGGTATTGTGCAACATTTTTGGCGGCAAACAACTCTTTTGCGTAAACAGATTAAGTCATCTGGGAAAAAACCCTGTCTCATTTAGCACCCTCTCAATTTAAACCGTAACTAAAGAATATTGAGATTTTTGTGTGTGTGTTGAAATCAAAAGCTACTGTTGCACGAAAATGGCGAAATTAGGGGAGAATAAATTATAACGCTGGAAATATGAAAGCTAAATCTTTAACATTGCATGTGAGATCATTAATATTTTTATACATCTACGAAAATAAAAGGTAAAATTTCAGATTACAGAATTATGAATTAGTAAAAATTATTGCAACAAAACAAAGACTGTAGACTTTGAGGACATAAATAGTTATCCATGGACGCGTTAGACTGTCATATAGAAACACTGAAATTCGAACTTGTCAACTCTAACTGACAATATTACCTCGTTAACAAAACAGATGTGAGTTGGCGCACTGCCAGCTGAGTACATCTAGAAGGAAAAAAAGTACATTTGCATACTTCAAAAGTGTATAAAATAGTTTTCAATAGCGACCTGTTTTTAATCATCAATAAAAGGACGTTAACAAACATCTGTGGTCGTTGACATCAGTTCTTAGTATAGAAATCATTTCCATGTACCGGTGATACAAAATGGCTGACACGGATCAGAGAAACAGAGTGGTATTTCTTGGTGCAGGGCGTGTGGGCAAGACAGCCATCTTGAAACGGTTTCTTTTCAACACCTTCACTCCGGACTACAAGGAAACAGTGGAGGATCTGTTTGTACGAGACTACAACATTCGTGGCACTCTGATCAAAGTGGATTTCCTGGACACCGCCGGGAATTTGACGTTTCCAGCCATGCGACGTCTGTCCATCACCACAGCTCATGCTTTTGTACTGGTCTATTCCATCACCTCGCAGGAGTCCTTTGAGGAAGTCAAGAAGTTGTGGGCACAGATACAGGAGGAGAGAACCAAATACAAGGTCAGATCATTGTGTTCACGTGAATACCCTGTGACAGTTGAATTCTTGTATAATAGACAATTTGGTGTATTCTGTCACAATCATAGGATAGTGAAGGATGTAATGTTCGCACAGTGACATTTTTAAATATTCACAGTGTTGTACATTCAAACAATCAAGTCATGTACCATCTTCACAATATAGTGTGATACTGGCTGCCGCTGATATATATTGCCCTAGTTGGGCAGTCTCTCAGATTGCTTCGTTTCATGTTATACTCCCACTTCTAGCTCTGTTTTTCACCTCTGCGCTTGTAAAAAAAAAAAAAAAGATTATTATGCCTCTTAACTGTAAACAACTGCTTTGTAGCGTGGAACAAAATATTTCACTTCCCTCACTCCCCCCCCCCCCTTTTCCCCCCCAATACACCCCCTTCCCTAGTTCTTTAACTGCTTGAAACTTCCTAAAATTGCTTTCTCTCTCATCCCCCCCCCTCTCTCTCTCTCTCTCTCTCTCTCTCTCTCTCTCTCTCTCTCTCTCTCTCTCTCTCTCTCTCTCTCTCTTGTTGTACCCCACCAGGACTTCACACAAGCAATAAACACCAGGTTGAGAATCACCCGTGAGAGGTCCCAGAAACCCCTTTCAGTCGTTAGGCTATATTTATGTCTGACTTTATTAAGGGATCCAGGAAAAAAGCCAGGGTAGGGCTTCAGATAACATAAAATTGCATCCCACATGGGCAAGACTAATGCTAACGTTTCTACATATTTAATGTGCTGTTCATTTTTGTTAATTACTAAAAATAGTTTTATGATATTCACTTTTAATCCACATTCCAAGCTTGTTACTTGCTCCACCACATCATGTAACTCCTTCATATTTCTGCTTCTGATACATGCAACAAACTACGCCTGTTCATGTTGATAACAGTTAGTTGCAAATCAGTTTGGTGGCTTCGCAAAGCAGAACGAACCTTGTGCTCATTTGTTAGCTATTCTACAGTTGGCGATCGCAGGCAACTGTAGGGGCAGATAACGACATTTTCACGGTCATGTGCGTCTTTTTCCTTTTCTAGTTTAATTCATCCAGGAAGTCTCTTCAGTAATTTAGTGCGGTTGAATGTCTCACTATCTCCAACAACATATAAAGTAAACTAGTAAAAGACTCCTTTTGCCTCCTTTAAGCGGATTGGGCATATAGGGCTAGACCTATATTTTATAGACCAAAGGGCACTTGGTGGGTGATATGGTCAGCAACACGCGGGTCCAACAGCATACCATGCTGCCACTAAACTTAATCTCGCTACCTACGAGACGCGATGTGACCTGATAAATAAAGGTAGGAAATATTTTCTTCTCATCCAGAATATTTGTGAACAGCCTAGTAAATCCAGTTAATGCAAAAATGTGAAACACAGTTCTATTGCCTGATACGCCTTGGGAATACAGTGCTAGACCACAGTTTGTAACATTAGTCACTAAAGGATTTGTCATACTATGAAAATCAGATATGTCACTTTTATGTCAGGGAAAATTTGCCTTTATACCAACTCAAGGCTGGGTCAGCCTGAGAGCTTATGTCACGTTTTCTAATCCGCCTCGTTGTAGATTCAAACCCATGACTTCCTTTCTGACAGTCAAGCCTTCAACCACGGCGCAACCATGGTTCCCAACTGCAACAATTGTTGTGGTTTTACTGTGTGTGAAAAAGCTACGTTTTCAACTACATAATGCATGTACCACACTATTTTGTGTGTATATTTTGTGTTGAAACTAGAAAGTATAGTCGGCAACACTGGGTCCGTTTGCAGTTTATATATTTAATGGTTCCTTTCCTGCCGATACAACCTTTGGTGTGTGAAGGGTTAATCGTTGAAATATTCCAAACTACGACTTATGTGGTGGTGTGGCTAGTCCTAAACCTGGCCAAATGTTCATTACGGTCACTTACTAGAATATTATGGAGGTTATCTTGTGCCTTTTATATGAGTGGCTCGACCTTAGATCCATGCTAAATAGAATAAATTCTGGCACTTATATAGAGTGATCCAGAATTACTGTCTCGACAGCCAGTGAAGTAACACTATACCGTAGCTGTTGCCAGATCACTTAGCATTCAACATCTCTGAGATCAATCGTTTCCTGATCTCATATTTCCATTACGTGTTACAAAATAAGTCTGTTTTCTGAAGTGTATTGTGCTATATTCTCGCCATAAAAATACTCTCTGTACTATTAAAATGTCTATTAATGGAATAAAACAAGAGTTGAAGTCAAGCTAGACCACTCATGTCGCCCCCATTACACTAGTAATGACTTCACTTATCAATAACTATCCAGACTGGGGTCCCTAAGAGTCGGTCTTGAATTGGGTTATTTCCATATCAGTCCATAGGTACTTGCCGATGACCAGAAGGTGTTGGCTTCATATTCGCCTTTAGGTGGAATGTTATTTAATGAACTTAGTTTACACACAGATCTAGCCTAAAACTGGTACCAGAAAATGTATTGGAAGGTAAAGGTGGTCGGTTTGAAATTGGTTAAATCATTGCAATGAATACCATTTGATCTGTAAACTACAGATCTAGCACCAAATGCCTGGTATGTCAATAGCGGCAAAAGTTTCTTTACCGATTTACAGATGGTGGTCAACTCAGTGTAACAGCATTGCTTAGACGGTCAGTCAGTGGTCAGTAGCATGTCCTCTGCAGATCCTTGCTCCCATAAAATCCCTCCGGAAAACTTCTTGACCATAGCTGTTATGGTTTCTTGGCAAGTTTTGCAGAAGGTAGTTTGCCATTCCTTTCCTTCTGGGCAGTGACTGTACTAGTCGCTGGCCATAGCCTTTGTCGCCATTGATGAGATCATCTGCCTATCGCCACAGAGTACATGACCATAACCAACAACAGTCTGTCGGCTGTTCTCACACTCCATCCACCACCAGTGCTGAGACACCGTCTTGAAATAGGGGAATAACTACATCGGGAGGGCATGGGAATCAAGCGGTTTTGGTATAGCTAGTGCTCGACCGTTAGAGAAGTGGAGAGGAGGGGGAATGTAGGAGTAGGTGAGGAGGGCAGGTTACTTTACATTCACTGCCTCAGAGCATTTCACTCTCAGTTGCCATTATGATGCCGCTCGGCTCCGGGTTAATCATTGGGTTACCGTCATTGTAAGCGGCGTCCGTGGCTTAGGCGTTGCGATTCCGACTTGTAATTCCAACGTACTGCGATCGAAACCCACTGCTGGCTGCGTGGATTTTAGTCATGGTATGGAGCTTCGCAGGTCGACCCAGCCTAAAATGGGTACCATGATGGCTGTCCTAATGAAGTAAAGACGGCTGGCGTAATTCTGACCACATTACCCACCTAGTGCTGATTGGTCTGTGAAAATATGGGACGCTCTTCCCATATGCCCGATGCTCCTAAGGCGTAAAAGGGGGTCTTTTACTTTACTTACCTTTACTTTTTAACGTCCTTGTAACATCTGAGCTTACACTTTTTTTAAATCCCTTAGTTACACATAATAGTCAATGATTTTCAAATGTATGATATTAAGATGGGGCCACGTCACACACGGCCCGACCGTCAGAGGCTGCTCTTTACCCCTTGTTTCCTAACCATCTTATTTCGAGATTTAGTGGAGGTTTAGGTCTTCCTCTGTTCGCTGGTCTATGCATGTGTAATTTATTTATGTGGGGATACCTTTGATCGTATGTCTACGTGAACAAGCCTTGTAGTTAAATTAAATGAAGGAAGTGATCCGTCAACACTGCCATTCATAAACTCTCATACATGCACAATATCATACATACACTCTCATGCATGCACACTATCATACATCTAATACATGCATACTATCATACATGCACTCTCATATATGAAAGCTCTCATACACACACATTCATACATACACAAAAATTTATACAAACATAAACACTCCCATAATTCCCATGCATACACACTCATAAATACCCACAGTCACATAAACATGCGACATACACACATCCATACCTGCACACAGCCATACATACCCATGATATACCCATGCACACACATCTCAAACGTCTATACAAACATACGCTGACTCATACCGGTGCATACACTGATACTCTTACAAAGCTGTACAACACAAATACTTTCACATACTCACACTCGTACATAGCTGTGCATGCGCACACACGCATGCATATCCATACATACACAAACACCTATACATACACATATCCATACATATATAACATACACACTCAGACATATCGTGCGCACCTTATATAATTAAAAAATGATAATGCGCTACGATTAACTAACTGAGTTTAATTAACAAATAATCATCAGTATGCATGCATTTTAAAAGTTTACGGTAAAATTAGCAGAACTCTTTCTTCGAGTCTAGTAGAAAATAGTTTCGAAAATGAGCACCAGAGTATGCTTAACTTGTTTTGTATTAATATGTTCTAGATTTATTCTAATGTAATCAACTTAACCGCGTGCTGCTCCTAAGATTAGACTGAATCAAACGGAAAAGGCAATTCAGTGTATTTTTAGATAGGATTCTATGAATAAATTTGGCTTTGTTAAAAATTATTCGTTTACTAAATAGTATAAGTCTTAGATGGCATCAAGAAAGAGAATACACCCGTTTTACGTTAGATTTGCAGACATTCCCCTTGTGGAACAATAGTCGATCTGTGTTTGGATGTAAGTTACGTAATACATTTGTAGTATATTTTTATCCAGAAAGTGCTGAATTTCACCTATAAGAGAGAGAGAGAGAGAGAGAGAGAGAGAGAGAGAGAGAGAGAGAGAGAGAGAGAGAGAGAGACAGACAGACAGACAGACAGACAGACAGACCGACCGACCGACCGACCGACCGACCGACCGACCGACCGACCGACCGACCGACCGACCGACCGACCGACCGACCGACCGACCGACCGACCGACCGACCGACCGACCGACCGACCGACCGACCGACCGACCGACCGACCGACCGGATGGATGGATGGATGGATGGATGTATAGATGGATGGATGTATAGATGGATGGATGGATGGATGGATCGATAGATCGATTGATCGATAGATCGATTGATCGATAGATCGATAGATAGATAGATAGATAGATAGATAGATAGATA